CCAAAGGGCCACGAGATCCTGGCCAGAGTCAAAGGCTATTGGACTCAGAGATGTGAGGCAGTCAAGGATGGGAAGGGAAAGGACTGGGGCTGTATGCAGATGTTCAGCTCAAAATGTACCCCACAAGGCAGCACTTGTCTAAATCTGCAGTTTTGCAGGCCACTTAAAAATTGCCGGCTGTCTCCGCAGAGTCCTGAATGCACTTTGTTTTCCCTTCAGTGCCAGCATTGTCATCAGCATCCAAACCAGCGCTGCATTAGGAAAATCATGGGCCCTCAGCCAGGCAGCTGAGAAGGGCCCCTCTGAACTTCTTGCTTTTTTCAGAGAGCATTAATAGACAGTGCCAGCACTGTGTTATAAAAATCAAAGGCCCTGGGCCAGAACCTTGTTAGTCTGTTCAGTGTTCCTGCCCTGGTCAAAATGGCTTCAGATCTTATTTATTTCCCCTACTTCAATACCACCCAATAGCCAAAGTTCTCCAGGTGGTACACAGCAATTAAAACCCTAAAATACAACTTGCTAAAATGCAGTGTAAACATTTAAGTTTGAAACAATATAAAATGAAAATAGCACCTAGCACCAGTGCAAAGATGTAAATGACAGAACAGATTTTAAACAACAGAAACCAAAAAACTAACCGTTCAAAGGGAAACCGTTGATGCTGAGTAAGTGTCTCTGGGGAGTTCATCCCACCAGCAGCACAATGCAACAGAAGAAGCCCTCTTTTTAGTCACCACCCACCTCACTACCTTTGGCAGGGGAGGGACAGCTGAAAACGAACCCTAAGCCATGTCAGGCTTTGAATGTTAATTCCAGCACTTCCAAACAGGCCTGGAATGGACTGGCAGTCAGTGCAGATGGAAAAGTACCGGCATCACATCAGCCAGTCCCCATTAACAATTTTACTACCCTATTTTGGACAAGCTCAAGTTTCCAGACCACTTTCAAAGGCAGCCCCAAGGATAATACATTGCAACCATCCAGACAAAAGATGATCAGAGCATGGATAATCGTAGCTAGGCTATCTCTGTCCTGATAAGAATGCCGTTGATGTATCAGCCTTAGTTGATAAAAGGTGCCCCATGCCTCCGAGCCCACCTGGGCCTCAGTGACAAAGCTGGATCCAAGAGCACCTCCCAGTTATGAGCCCGATCCCGTAGGGTAGTGCAGCCCCTTCCACTTAGCTGAGAAGACAAAGCACCCATAAGCAGCATCTCCTCCTTGCCTGGACTGCGTCTCGGTTTATTGGCCTTCACCCATGTCCTTGCTGCAGTCAGGCACTGGCCCTGATGCCCCCTGCCCCATCCAGGTTTGATTAAAAGAACAGACAGAGCGGGGTGTTTTTTTATTATTAGATTTATATCCCACTTTTTTCTTAGAACAAACTCAAAGCAGCTCACATTGTTCTCCTCCTCCTGCTCTCAATCATATCCCAACAACAGCCCTGTGAGGTAGGTTAGGCTGAGAGCCTGCGACTGGCCCAAAGCCACCCAGTTGGCTCCATCTGAGATTGCCTGACTCCCAGTCCTGTGCACTTAATCACTACACCACACTGATAAAAGCTGTTATCTGCATATTGACAATTGACACAGCCAGGTAACTGCCCAGCAGTTGCATGAAGATGCTGAACAGCATGGGTGACAGAATACAGCCCCGTGGCACCTGATGGCAAAACTGCCAAGAGACAGAGCAATAGTCCTCATCTCCACCTTTTGGAATCAGCCGTTCATGTCAGAGCAGAAACACTGCAGTGCAATGGCAACAACTCCCAACCCCGACAACCTATCCAGAAGGATGTCCTGGTGGATGGTACTGAAAGCTGCCAAGAGGTCCAAGAGACTCGGCAGGGTTACATTCCCCTATTCCTCCCACAGCAAGAACCTCCCAGAAGGTGAACAAGATGGTTTCCCTTCCAAAACCAGCCCTGAAGCCGTTCAAGATGCAGCTGGACTGCCATCTGACAGGGATGGTTTAACCTGGAGTCCTGCACAGAGCAGGGGGTTGGACCCAGTGGCCCTCTGGTCCCTTCCAGCTCTACTATTCCATGATTCTATTATCAAAATGCTATGAGAACCTGTCACAGTGTGTGACTGAAGATTCCACCAACTCTCTTCCTAGTCCTGCTTGTAGCACAAAGGAACATCTCTGCTAGACGACACTGGGAAGATGCAATGCTGACGGGGAAGAACTCCCTTTTTGCCACCAGGACATCCAGAATAGGTTCAGTAACAAGCTCTAATCTGCATTCAGCCAGAATCAGCACAGCACATGATTCCCTCTAGCCGTGTTCTCACTGTCTTCCCTCTTGCTTCATTGTCCTCATCTGCAGTGTACACCAAAGTGCTGGCCAGGCCCTGAGCAGAGAGAGGGCACAGGGACACGAATGTGTCAACTGCCCCAAGTAATATCTGTATTTCCCAGAGGGGTATGGGCTTCAACAGGAGCACCAGCCACGCCAGCAGAAAAATCTCTGAGCCCTCTAGATTAGGATAATCCATTTGCTTCTGTTGGTGAACCATTTTATAGGTTCCCACCCGTATGGAGAGGAAAGTCTGCTGGATGTATCAACCTCAATAGGAAGTGATCTGACTATAATAGCTAGATGTTAATTGCCCCACTATCAGATCACCAATCCTTTGTCCAGTCAAGAAAAACACATCAGGCAACACAGCCCCATAACTGAGATGGTAGCCCCTAACTCTAGCCCCTCTTCTCCTCCAGTAGCCTGCTAATCCTGCAATGTCATGCCTCCCCACATTAATAGTGCCACCTTTTCTCCCCACTAGTTGCTCCAACTAATTTCCAGGCATAGGATAACGATACAGTACAAAATAGTGACCCCTTCGTACAACTGCTAGCAAGGAGCAGGTGCTAAATGGCTTAAACGTCTGCACAAAAATTGGCATATCCAAATAAACTGGTCTACAAACTGGCCACACACCAGCTGAACAAAGTTTGCAGACCAGTTTGAGAATTTCTGCCATAATGAAACTGAGTGACTCATTCTGCAACTCCCAATTCAAAGTCTAACCACACAGTATCTAGCTTGCACTTGTAAGCACAGAAAGGATTATTAACCTGGGATCTTTTGCTGCTGGTAAAAGTGGCCAGCCCTAGACCAACCTTCTCCGATGTGGTGCTCCCAAGGTGCATTGGACTGTGACATCCATCATTGCCAGCTCATAAAGAGCATCACGTTTGAAAGTAGAAACTTGCTTAGAGGAGTTGAAACTTAGTGAAGGCAAAGACCAGGATCCAAAGAACCACTTTAGGGTTTGGCCTGCCTAGTAGAATAACCCAGTTCTACTGTACTGTGTGTTTTGAAATTCTCAATTAATAGGCAGATCGCTGGTGCAGTGGTCACACATCCTAGCTAAGGAGCTGTCCCCCTTGTTTCCCTTACCCAACTGCCTTGCAACACCATTGATGACCAGCGGCAAGAACTTCATTTACCAATGAATATGTTGGCACTGGAATAATAGACTAATGTGCCATCTGATCCGTAGCCCAGGGTGAGGAAAGAATTCATGCAACAAGCAAGGAAGCCATGTGCAGAGCGGCAAACCCTGTTCAGCTCTGGGCATTATCACAGTGGGCATACACAACACCACTGGCTGTATGCAGATCTACGAGATGGAGCGCTGATCTGATCCTACATGGATCTTCTTACATTCATTGCAGTGGCAGAAGGGGAAGAGGCCTTCCTGCCGCTGCTGCCCAACCATGCAATGATCTCCCCAGTGAGATCCACCTGGCACCAACATCCTTATCTTTTCTGCATCAACTCTTTCCTCTATTCCCAGGCAGTTGACAAGATAAGGTGGGGCTTTTTTGCATTGGGTGGGTCTTGATAGCTTTATTCTTGATTCAGTGGAAGCAGCTTGTAGCTCTGAGCCTGGGCCATGCTTGGCCAGCAGGTTCTAGACTGGAGCACCATTCCACTTGAGCTCTCCCTGCAGGCCTCCTTCGTGCCTCCCGTCTGCACTCAAGAGGCATGTCATTTTCCTGGCGCTGCAGGCTTGACTCCTTTCCCCACTGCCTTGGGCACCAGGACTGTAAAACCTGCTTAACCGGCAGACATTCAAAAGCACCACCTTCCCAGATGGACCTTTTCTTGCCAGACGTCCACACCCAAGGAAGTGCTCTCTGCAATCAGAGCCCGTGGCGAGGGCAGGGTCAGGGACCTGCTGAGGAGCCCACCTGGCAAGAGCCTCCCGGAGCAGCTGCTCCTCATCACAGCATGCCGCCCACTCTGCCCAGAGAGCAATGGCAGTGGTGGCAGTGAGAGCGGGGAGCAGGAGGGGCCACGGCTGCCGTTCTCCAGCTCTCTGCCTGCCAAGAACACCAGTGGTAGCAGTGATGAGAAAGAGGAGGAAGAGCAAGAGCAGCTGATGACCACGGCAGCAAGAAGGTAGGCCCACTGGGGGTGTCTTGTCTGAGGATCCACAAAAGCCTGGAGCATGTGGCTCCAGGCTTGAGAGCCTTCCATGTGGCTTTAGAAACCTGTCTGAGAAAGCTTGGCAGTCCAAAGTGCTGATCTACCACCAGTCCTTAAGATACAGCAGTATGAAAGCAACCACAATGCAACTACATGCACATTAAGTTACCATGGGGCCCCTGCAGATGTCATGTTCTGTGTACAATCAGGGAACCAGTGCCAGTGTAACCTGCTGCACTTCTCTGGTTGTGTGTGTATTGGACAGATGTGTGTATACTTAACATGCCAGAATATTCGTTCTTGTAATATGTTCCATGATTTATATATAGCAACCTTCCTCTACCCTGAACCTTCCTGATGTTTTCAACAACTCCCACAGTTCCTGATCACCTGCCATGTACCCTGGGTTGATGGGAACTGAAGTCTAAAACATCCAAAGGGTAACAACAGGAGGAAGCCGCCTTACTGTCTTGCACATGGTCACAACATGACACTTGAAAGGAGGGACGTGCACATCAGCCCGCGTCATCCCAACAGCAAAACAAGATGCATACACAGAATGTTCCAATTTACCAAAAATAATTTATTCACATGAAAATTTGTAAAGTTAACAACATTTCCTCTCAGTTACACAAAGTAGCAGATCTGAAAGACAAACATATGGGTGGAAAGTGCCTAACTAGTTATCAGTCAAGTATGGAGTGTTTTGAAGAATCCATAGAATAGTTTGCAAATATCAGCCTTTGAATGGAAACGTTGGCGAGTCATCTTATGCAGTGCTGAAGTGAAGGCTTTGAGGCTTATGGCCTTCCTAGGCTGAAGGACAACAGGCATTCCCAGTGCAGTAGAACTAGTTGTCTGAACAGGCATCCTCTGTCAAAACGAGTTCCACGAGTTCTCAAACCTGGCACCCTCCAAATGCATTTGACATGACTCCCATCATCCCTGGCTGGCACAGCATGGCCGTGCAGGGTAGGAATGATAGGAACTGCCACATCGTGAAGGCACCAAATTAGGGAAAGCTACCTTAGAATATACCTGGCTTCATCTCTGGCCAACCAAGCTACTCATGAGGAATGACATTTCAAACTTGGGATTCTGAGGACTTATTCTGACAAATGCTTTTTTTCCCAACCTTCCTAGTGTTGCACAGACATGTGAGGTGGGAGCTGAGCAAATATCGGACTCCCTTTAAAGACGTAGTGCTTTGTGGATCACCCCGATCAAGTTAACAAAAAGTGGGAAAGTGATTGTGTGCATAGACCCTAAAGGTTAGGGAAAGGCTTTTTATCTACAGCAGGTCTAGAATTCAGAGCATGTCGTTATTATGAAGGTCAAACCATTTAAGTGTCTTTTCAGCAATAAAACAAACCAGACGGATCAAGAGCATCTCTCGTCAGGACAAACCCACACAACAGCTGATGCCGCAATGGAGTGGAAAAGGAACAAGGAAGAAAAAGAATATCTAATCTACATCTTCATGCCACTGATGGATTAGGCAGCCAAATTAAAAGCAAAGAGAAGAAAGACTCTCCCCTTTTTTTAAAAAAAAGGAAACACCCAGAAATGATCACATCCTGAAGAACAGTGGAACTGAGCAGCACTGCTAGAAGAGAGCACACAATGGTTGAGCAACGAACAAGTAAGAGGCCCTGAAAATACCAAGAACGTTTCATTCACAGGAGTCACAACATGATTCAAACACTTGTAGTCATAAATAATAATAGCACAAAAGAAAGGCTATCGCTGCACATTGAATATTTATAAAGGCAGTTTTGGAAAAGAAAAAAATCCCTTTTCCTCCAAATTTGCAAATAAGGGCACGATCCTATGCATGTTTAGACAGAAAAAAGCTCCACAATTCCCAGCATTCCTTAGCTGGCAGTGCCTTACTTGCCAGGACTGTGCCTTAATTGTTTCTTCCCCCTCAGTCTCAGGAGATCATCCACAGCTTTGCTTACATTTGATGGCTTGCCCTTTGAAAGCTGTCAGAGGAAACCAAAGGGAAGAAATAAATTTACCTGTTGCTTCTGTGGGGCAATGCCCAGGGGCTGTGCCCATGGGCAAGCCCCTGCACAATGCCCACCCAAGGCTCCCCATTCAGAGTTGTGCAGGAGTGGGTATAAAAATGCTTGTAGAAAAACACAAATGTTGGTAAAAAATTGGGAGCAGGGGTTGAAAAAGAGCTGGACAGCCCTGGACAGTCCTTCCAAGGTGCTACTGCAGCCCTGAAAATCCAGGTTTCATGATCAAGGGAGCCTGTTTAAAGGGGAAAGACAACTGCAGCAAGCCCCAAATGACTCACCCTTGCCCTGGGGAGGGGGAAGAGACAACTTGGTCCTCCTGCAGGGGCAGCTGGGATGCCCATGGGAGGACTGAGAAGGGAGTGTGAGCAGCCATCTAGGGTGAGCCAGATCATCTATCAGGCACACCGTGGATTGTTCACATGACAACCACCCACCACAGCTTATTGCCAGGGTGGGGTGCCATGAAATATGCCTACTGAGTTCAGCTGGCATCATTTTCTGACACCACCAAACTGCATTTTTCTACTGTCATTCTATGGCATGAGGTCCATGGACCATGCTGAACTATGCAGAACTCAACAAAGGAAAGGGGGCAATGGAAAGGCTGCCTATTTTGGCAGTCATTCTGCACATTTTGTGATAGTAAATTCCACCTTCAAGATGCCTTTGGTGCAGGTTGAAGGATCATTCAACCATGTTCTTTTAGGCCAGAATGGAGAGATGAAACCTGGCTGACTCCCCTAGAAGTCTTCAATCTTCTCTCAATGGATATCAAGTGCAAGTGATCACAGCTGACCAGACACCAGAGCATATCTGATAATTAAACCCTCCCCACTGATCAGCTGCTGAACGCCATTCAAAATCACATTCACCTTAATTTTAAGGACACTGGTAAAACTTTGCCATGCTTCTGCATGAAATGATTTGGCTCTGGCACATCTCCAGAGATGCAGTCTCATTCTTGCACATGAGGCAGTTAAAAGAAAAATAAATCAAGTATGGAATGCAATTGCACAGTTAAACACAGGAAGGTTAAATGAGCACAGGCCATAACACTGGCACAAGTATTTAAAAATAGAATAAAAACATGACTTCTTTTTTTACATGAGGATGCTAAGGATCTGGGCTGCTCCTCCAGTTTCCTGCTAGGCATTTTGTAAACAAACAGCCAGGGAGGAAACCAGGGGGCAGAGAGATGGCACCATCAGTTTGAAAACTTTACATTGGACTGGCCTGAGGCAAATTTGAAACAGTGTTTTGGTATCAAATGAAAAGACTTTTCCCTCTTGCTTAAGTTGTAAAGAAGCCTGTCAGTTTTAGACATCTGTCAACTGTAAGGTATCCAGATGTAAGATAAAGGCTTAGAACAGTACAAACAATACAGGAGGGCTACCTTATCCAAAGTAATCAGCATCAAGTGGTAAAGCTTTCCCTGGACTGTACCACTTCAGGCTGCAGGTAGGGCTTGCAGCTTTGAATGATCCGCTCACCACCCACCTCCATTCTGGTCATTTCTTTCACAGAGATAACCAGCATGATGGAAAGGAGGCATGTCTGAATTCCTTTCTTGAACCTTCTCATTTTCTGCATACAAAGAGATTAAATTTTCTGGGACAGGATTCATAGGTGAGATCCCCCACCTGCAGCCCAAAATGCTTCAGCCTGGTCAAGGTCCTACCTAATGATTTTGACTACTTCTTCAAGTAGTCCAAGGAACAAGAGGTAACAATCAAAAGGAAAATGTCCTTCTCTGGCCTGCTCAATAAGTTCTCCAAACAAACAGCCATGTCTAAGTGGCAGCCAACTGTTGCGATGACTTTAGGCTCTGACTTCTCAGCAGCAAAGCCTTCCAGGTAAATTAAGAAGTAAAAGTGAAGTGCTAAAAGTTCTAAAAACACCCCTCTCCCTTGGGTGGTCTTCCTGGAAGAGTTCCATTGGATGGCGACACGAGGGCGGTGTCAACCAGCCGCCCTGCGCAGCTGCCTCTGCACCAGGAGCATGCGGATTTCCTTTGCTAGTAAAGGTGTGATGAACAGCACTGTTAAAGTGGTCTGTGAAAAGAAAGGGAGGTAAGGGCTTTAGCATGGGTGTGCACAGTGATTCAAGGACGCCACTAGCTCTTGGGGTCATTTCAAGCACATTAGACCAGCCCTCAGGCTTCATTTCATGGGTCCCTCTGCATGCATCAATTCAGATCTCTGGCAAAAGAGGATGAGCCTGGAGGAACGTGACCATTCCCCGGGAGGACCAGATTTGGCCCCGGCCCACAGTTCCTCACCCCTTATCTCTTCTACTGGAGATGCCGGGACTAAACCTGCAACCTGCTGGTTGCCAAGCAAGTACTCTAACACTCAGTTATGGCCCTCGCCCACAAGAGCTCAGCTGGAACCTGCAGCCCATCATGTCCGTACCTGTACTATGCGAAAAACCAAATGGACCAGCTACCACATCTGGGAGCCAAGGGAGTGGATTAGACAGGGAAAACGAGGGAAGGCAGGATAGAAATGTACCAAGGAGTGAGTGCAGAGAAAAATGTTTCTCTCTTCCCTCTAATAGAATGCAGAGTCATCCCTCCAAGCCGATTGGTGGGAGATTCAGGAAGAGGTAAAAGACTTTGTTACACAGAGCATAGTTAAACTAGGGAATTCACTTCCACACAGTGTAGTGATGGCCATTAGCTTGGATGGTTTAAAACAGGCAAATTCATGGAAGAGAAGGGTGTTCATGGCTGCCAGGCCAATGACTATAAGCTGCCTTCAGTAGCAGAGACGTAGCACTCTTGTAGAGCAGTGGCTGCAGAGGATGAGCAAAAAGTGCTGCTGCACCAGCATGCTACTTGTGAGCTGTGTAAACTGAACACTGGACTGCATGGCTGCTACGCTCAGGCTGCAGTGGTGAAGAGGAGCAGCAGCCCAGGGAGTCTTGCTCTTGAGCTCCCACCAGGACGTTGGCCTTCAGCAAGTGTCCCACCAGGCCTACCCTTTATGCCCCCCTGTTCTTCAGCTCATGCAAATGACTCTACCTGCAGAGGTGAGGAGATCCTACCCCTTTGTGAGAACTCCACCGTACCAGTAATAAAATGCAAACATTGCCCCCCTACCAACCCCAAGTGTCCAGTGAATCACTCCTGGCAGACACACTTCACCATTAGACAGAAAAGCCTTGAAAATCAGGCCACTGAATGACACAGCATCTCTCTGTGTCTCCACCTTTAATCTGGCACATACCCTGCCGCACACAATTTCCCATCTTTTATCAAGCGTATTATTTCACTTTCATCTCAGGCCATCTGAATTAAGAGAGGGACTGAAATCTGCATCTTTCTGATGGCTTTGGCTAGTGCAGCAAAAGCTTCTGAAAACAGAGAAGGGGTAGGTCAGCCACCATACCAGTCTAGTCCCAGAAAAAGCTAGCAGCAGAAGCTACTGCTGCAGCTTCACAGGGCTGAGAAACTGAACTCCAAGCTATACAAAAGGTGTAACAGCTAAGAGACTGAGCTAACAATCAGGAAATCCTTGGTTTGACTCACACATCTTCCATTAGCAGAACAGGGCTTTCATCCTATATAGTTAAATCCCACTGAATTAGATGCTGAGCAGACACACAGGATCACACTGCAGGTGGCCTGAAGCCAAGCTCTGAGCTTTGGCCTCCAGCTGAAATATGGGGGTGATCATTTGCACCAATGTTGTTGAGAGGATAGGATGCATGCAAAGGGCTTTGAACAACTGAATGTGCTCTATGACAGCTAATTGTTTTTAGAACTTCTTGTCTCCCATGAAAATCCCATCAGGAACTTATTTTTCCCCTCTAGTCTCAAGTAAAAGTAAATAGGGCCCTTACCATCAGAATGAAGAAATAGAAGACCCACATCCATCCCAGCTTCTCTTGGATCAATGATACCAGGTACTGAAAGTGGGGGAAATACAGTGAGAGATTAAGCCATTAAAGGACACTTAACATGCAAAGACACTTTTCTTTCTTCCATCTCTATTACATTCATTTGCTTTTTCCAGATTCAAGAATGATTCAGCATGAATCCCCCTCCTTCAGTGGCCATTCCTTGCTTCACAAGCTGTCAGATTTCAACATACAAACTTCTCTGAACCATTTATACAATTACAACAGTTTCCCAAGTGCTTTATAGAGGACTAGAAATCTCTGTATGAAACCCCATGATTTAAAATGCATGATGTAAGAAAAGGAGGAGGACTGGGAAGGGAAGAGGACAGCAAGCAGTCAGATACCAATTCCTGAAGTCAGAAGATGATGATAACCTCTCAAGTTTGATTTAGTCTATAATTTTTCAGTCACTGTCAGTGGGTTAATCAGAAGCTCTTTCAAACTGAAAGGTCACCTCTGGAAAATGAGGGGGAAGGCTCCTCTTTTCAGTGTGGGAAAACATGTACAACAGAACTGTGAGAAGGTAGACACTGCAGGCACAGGAAATCCTATACTATGATTAGTTGAGGCAGCCTGATATTTATTGAAAAGAATCTATTCTTTTAGAAACAGAGAAACAGAGCGAGTCAGAAGGGGCATCCCGGGCCATCTAATCTGACCTCCGGCACCAGCCAGCTCCACTCATGACATGCCCACCACGTGCATGTCACATGGCTTTTTTTCCACTGGCTGGGAATTGTCAGCCATTTTTCTGCCTAAACGTGCATAGGATTCCACCCTTAGTCTCTCTCTGTTTAAAGATATTTGATGTACCCTTGCTGCTTCACATCTCACCAAGGGAGACAGCCTAGTAGTGGGACAGCAGCTGGTTGCAATAGAAAGATGCTGTTACACACCTAACTATAACCTCAGGTAAAGTGGAGGATGCAATTCAACTGACCCAAAGCCCTCTCTTCTATCGCTGATGTGTGAAATTCAAAAATAGCAATGTGTCCAGGTAAAAAGATTAGATTAATTGTAAAGTGGATGCTTGCCATTGAGATCTCTGGGCACTGAGAAGATTCAAGAGGAATGTGATGTGATTTGATGTCAGAGGGCAAACTGCTCCAGGGATAGAAGAAAGCCAAGACTGATAAGGCCACTACCACCCACAACAGGCACACACAAATCAGCACTACTGCTAAGTTGCTGGAGAAATCCCCTGGCATCAGTTTGAAATCTAAGGGGCTGCGGGTGGGGGGTTGAACACTAGCTCTGGCAGGCTCTGCGGTGTTCTGGTGCAGAAGCTGGTTACTCTGCCAGAACATAAACTGTATTCCCATGCCACCTTAACAGTACCCTAAAACCAGTCCTCGATTCCTTTCTTGCACATATCTGTACATGACCTTTATAGTCAGAGATGGTCCCCTAGTTCCTATATCATTTAAGAAAACTCAGAGAAGGAAGTCATGCCATCTCTACCAACTAGACATCCAAGCCCTGGGGCAGAGAATCAAACATTATACGTCTGTTGCAGCATTATAAATCAGCTCCCAAAGGACTAGCCTACATAGCTTAAAAAAAAACCTGGTAAGAGGGGCTGTTGAAAGAATGATGGAAGGCTCTGGTCCTTCTTTGCCAGCCCCTCTCATGATCTATTATGCAGCCCACAAACTGTATTCCATGCTGCCCTTAAAGCAAAGATTACTGCTGGAACAGGGCAGCTCAGTGCTGCAGCTGACATGGCCTTCCAGTGTCTGCAAAGGCATGGTGCTTCTGCAGAGCTTCCAGCAGAGCAATAAGGATGAATAGATGTACAGTGACAGGCGGATGCATGCCTCCTGATCTTATATGGTTCTGTTGGCCAGTAGTTGCCCTGTAGCCAAAACTCCCAGGGCTACTGTAACCATCACAACTTGTGGCCATTGGTAGCCTTTCCTCCCATGAATTTTCTAAACCCCTCAGAAAGCCATCGAAGCTAGTGGCCATCACTGTGACAGTGAATTCTATAGTTTAACCGTACAGTACTACATGCCATGTGGATCAAAAATACCTTCTTTTTCTCTCTCCTGAATCTCCCACCATTTAGCATCACTGGATGGTCCAAATTCTGGCAATATGAGAAAAGGAGAAGTACTTCCCTCTGCTTTTTAAACCCCTTTCACATCCTGCTTTACTCACCTTTTCTTCTAAACTCCAAAAGCCCTGGATACTGGAAACTTTGCTTACAAGGAAGTTGCTCCATTACCCAGAACATTTTGGCCACCAGCTGTAATACCCATTTTGAGATGTAACAAATGCTAGGATCAAGTTGCATCTTCATTGAACTGTTACAAATACACTAAAAGAAGATCTTCAGTACCGCTAAATCTAAAGTTCTCTGGGAAGTTTTCACCTTTTAAAAAACACAAGATGTCAGATCCTTCTGACCTTTGCTCTTTAACAAATGAGTCTGAATCCTTTGGGGATCTCTCTCACCTGCCCCACAGCTGCTCCGACGCTTCCCGTGCCATCCACAATTCCTGTCACGGTTGCTAGTGCCTCGCTGCTGCTTTTCACCATTTCCTGACGCCCCAGGTCTGCAGAAATGGCAGAACTGATCATGTTGGAAGGACCTCCAATGAAAAAGCCTAAGGGACATTGAAGGAAAAGGCAAAAGAGAAGGAAAGCCAGGTAAAGGACAGGTACAGTTTCTGGTACCAGTGAAGGCGTTCTTAGTCTGAGCATACAGTACTGCTATGTGCTACAATCTATGTATGTATGTATACATGTGCTATGTATGTGCTATGTGTAGAAGGCTGGCCCACTCCTGGAAACACTAAATGCATGCAAATTGTGAACTCAACAGACTTGATTTAGAAGCACTGACCTGGTTCACACATAAAGCATTATGTAATTAACCATGGTATGCTGGTTTTAGAGTTATCTTTACATGCAAATTCATAAAGGGCATTTATGGGTATTTATTCATTCATGTATTTGTTTCTATACCACCCCGCAGCCAAAGCTTTCAGTCAGGCCAACAAACCATGGGTTAAAACTCCATGTAAATCAGGTCGTTCTGTACAGGATGATGCCAAAGTTCTGCCTGTGATCTGTTGATAGCTCTTTCACACATCCAAGAGCCTCATGGCACCTTACACACTTAACACATTTGCATGGCACATGCGTTTGTGGACTGCAGTTTGTTGTATTCAAGGCATGAAGCAATTTCCTAGTTGGCCAAGTCTACACATGAATGTTTGATCTGGAAAGGCTGGGCGGGTCCAGCTGCTATTGCGAGCTACCTCTGTAAGAGGAAGGGGGAAAGAACACACAGCAACGCCTTATAGCTATGACCACAAACGCCCGGCAGCACAGACCAGTGTTATGCCAGTACTGGTCTTCCTCCTCTCCTTTCCAGCCACACTGAAATGCCAGCACTGGCCCCTTACCTGTGACTGCCATGATAACAGCGTTGATAGCTTTGCTGTTTGGTGAACCTATAATGGAAAAAGAAAACACCCTGAGTTTATACTTCAGCAGCAGCGAGGAACTGATCGTAAAAGTTCTTCCAGAGATGCATGCCTGGGAGAAACACAATGAGTCAGAAAGGGCCTCCCAGGCCATCTAGTCTGGCCCCTGACTTCAGCCTCCTCTGCTTGGCTTAGAGTCTGTTTGAAACGTCTGTTCCGTAAGCCCCGTCTTTACCAGTGGTTGGTGCATTACTACCCTTTAAATCAGTGGTGGCAATGCACAGCCTGTGCCCTGTTCCTTTTAAAACGAAGGCAGAGTTGCTGCAGTGGGTTCTTCCACCCAACTGCAGAAAAACTGACCATAAATTCAAGCTGGCCAAGGTAGATAAGGAACTGCACAAACGGCTGCCAGGGTCAAATGACCTGGGATGAGAAATCTGCTAATTTTACTGGTATGCATGTCCATGCATGTGTGCATGGAGAGAAGAAGCAAAAGAACATCTTAATACGTGTTGAGGTTTTAATATCCATGTTCACAGTTTCTCAGATTGGGAGGATAGATCTTCCACCGTTGCTCACAACACTCCTGAAGCCATCGTTCCAAAATCCAGGGAGCTCTGCCTCAACACCTGTCCCATCACACCCAGGAGATACTGGTGTTTTAGCTAAAAGCCTAACTAGCCCCCAGCCTGAAAAGGGTCATCTCCCACTCTTATTGGCACATTAGCCCTTATCTGAGAAACAAAGAAAAAAGAAAAGCTGATCTTTCTGCATCCATGAGATTATACACACCTTTAGGCTATTAAAAAAAATCTTGTGGGAGGCAAAAGTCTTGACACACCAGAATCCTATGGCAACAGGGGTTCATGCAATGCAAAAAATCTGACACAGTCTGTTTCTCAACCTCGTGGACCAACACACTGTTAGGGAAAGAAAGCACAGCCCTTCAGATGTGTTGGACTGCCTCTCTTCCTAACCATGTTGGCGGAGGACGATGGTAGTGGAGCATTACCTGGAAGGCCACAGGGGCCACGCCCATGCCGCAGGAGATACTGAACAGGGGCCACCTTGTCAAGGTAAAGATCCAGCCCATATCTTATCAACCCCCTCATTGCCAGGGAGAGCTACACTGAACCCCTCTAATTTGTTGTCTCTCCTGTAGGCCATTTTTTTTAGTTTGTTCAAAAAGCAGCATTCAGCGGAACACCCGTTAGCTTGTGGGCCTCCCAAAAGCATCTGGCTGACCCCTGAAAGAAACAGCAGGCCAAATTAGAGGGAGGTTTGCTTGGTTTAATCATCCATGAGCTCTTCGTACCTTCTTTGTGATAACTCAAGATGGCCCCCAAATCCTAGCCTTATTAACACTCAGAATGCAATGGAACCACTCTGCTAATGCTTCAAGTCACTGATCAGGGCTAAGGCCCTACACCTCCCAAGAACTGCCACCAATGGTGCTGGCCAGGGCTGAAGGGAGTTGCAGGCCAAAACCTCTGCAGGATCACAAGTTGCTTCCCTTTTTATAGACAAATGTTGTTGCACCTTGTCTGGAACCAGGCAAGAGTAAAAGCAAGCACCACCTGACCTCACCCTAATCAAACCTGCATAGCGAGCAGAGAAGTACTCACGGCTGTATCCAAAGAGAGACACAACGGCCAAGGTGAGGCTGATGGCTAGCACAGGGGCTCTCTTCTGCAACATATCGGATATGAGGCCTTGGATGGTGCCACCTGCAGCAACAAAAGGAATGCAGGGCCTTCTGGTTAGGAACTACTGTTGTGTTCGAGTTGTTGTAAATTGTACTGACAAGCGCAAATCACGGTGGATGACGAGTTAATCCCCTGCTCTGCACCAGACTTAAGGACCAGATGTGCTTTTAAACAATGGCAGCTGGCAAGATATGGAGGCTTCTGTTCAGCTTCTGAGTCCTTCTCATGGCTTCCAGTCCATGCACTTACACCTGGGGTGCAGAACCTGAAGCCCTCCAGGAGTTCAAACCCAGGTCCTCCTGGGGTTCACCAGAAGACCGTGCCTGCTTTCCCCATCCACTGATTCTTTGGTGGTGTCCTGGCATTTGTTACAGTTTTCCCTGTTCTAAAAGTTTGAAATGCATCTCTGATGGCTTATATTCTGTCAGTACGTTTTAAGTTAATATATGCTGCTATTTGTTGGTGCTGCCTCTTTTTGCCTTCAACCTATCCTCCACAGGAACATTTCACCCCCAAAGCTTCTCCAAAATGGAATTTGGCCCATAGACTGAAAGATAAAGGGCCCATAACCCTTCTTCATTCTAACTTTTGGGCAAAAATAGTCTTAGGTGCCACAAAACATCCAATAATCAAGGAGATGTATAACACAATTTGCATCACATCACACGGGCTTGCTTAGGTAGGAAATGGAACTTGGCCTGTCCCCCACTACCTACCACATCCAGTTCTGATTTTAAGAGACCCAGAAAATCAGAGAAAGGAAAAAAACGTTTCCAGTTTGCTTCAGACTCATACCTATAATCCCTCCGACATCATACCAAATCGAGAGCTTGTCAGCTTCTGCCTCCTTCCATCCAAAATTGTTGCTGAGGTAGAAGGGCAGCCAGAAGAAGAAAGAGTAGTTCACCAGCTTCAGGCAGGCGTAGGCCAAGGAATACTGAAACAAGCACACAACACGCCACCATCACCACCCACCAACGGAAAGAACCAAAGCGCCCCGCAAAAGGAACACGCCTGGAGTAGCGCAGGCTTGTGTCCCTCCATGCGCTTTGGCTTACAGCTCCTGCCCATCCTAGCCAGCTTAGCTACTGGTGGGGGATCGGGAGAGTTCCAGGTGAGAACACCTCACTCAACTCGTATCACTACCGGGGGTGCTGGAAAAGGAAGTGTCATACAGGCCACCCTCCCCAGGCCACCCTCCCTCCCATCCTAACTGTAAAGTTCCTCAGGTATTAGAGATTCAAGGCACTGACTATCCTTGCTAGATGCTTATGGTGTTTGTCCAAAACAAAGTAGACAATGGCAGGAGGGCCAGCAGTCAGACTCCTGGGACACTGCGCAGCCCACATGGCTTCCCCAAGTTTTTAAAAGCAGGGAAAATACAAGTCTGCTGTCAAAATTAGATAGCTTCATTGCACAAGAATGCAATTCAATTTGTATTCAAAATTAAAGGTAACCCTTTGGGGGCTCTGTAACAGCTATGGAAAGCCAAAAGAGCCAAATTTACCTTGCAGCGAGTCTACATTTCAGCTTCTGATGCTGGATGGCCACTACAGATACTGTCTTTTTAAATAAATATTGAAATACTTAAATATACTTTTTCAGTTCAGGGACAGAGCAGGAGCCATATACAGCCTGCATGCACCCCCGTCCCTGTGCTAGGAGATGGAAGTGTAAATGTATTCCTGACAACATCAGAAACTCTTACCAAGATAACTCCAGGCAGACAACACGCCTGAAAAAACCCGATGGCTTCGGGCTGGGGGCCGCTGCCACTGCTGCTCAAGTCAGTGGCCTGAATGGAGTAATTCTGCTCCTCGTCATCTTCATTGGTGTCACCACCGATCAGTGGCTCACTGGCACCTTCTTCAGCAGCACCATCAGTCTCTTCGCCAACTTCAGGGAGACCTAGACAAATAAATGCACAGAGCAACAATTTGAAAAGCAGGATGATTCCTTTTCCGGGCTCATTCCTTGTGGTTCCTTTCTCCTCTCTTTCTCTTAAGCTTGTTTGCTCTCTCATATCTCAGTCTTCCTACTCCTCTGGCTTAGAAACGCTTCTGCTGTTCCGCAGAGTTGCCAGTTTCTACCCCGGCCTTCTAGCACTCTTGACAGTATTCCTGTCTGACCCTGGCATTGGCTCTGTCTGCCCCGAATGTCTGGCCATTAGTTGGAAGACCCAACAAATCAGTGCATTCCCCATTTAACTGCAGCTCAGTGTCCCCCAGCTGCAAGTTTCACTGCACCAGCTGCGAGGTGGAACTTAACTGCAGGACGCCTCAGTCTACCAGCAGGATTTCTGGTAGATGAACTAGAAGGAAGCCCTCTACTGGAAGCTTGCTGAAACCAGCAGAGCGAAAAGATCGCCACAGCTTCAGCCTCTATGCAAATCGATCCTTAGTCCGTGACTGTTTCAGCTTCCATTTCAGGACCCCCTGCTCCTCTCCAGTGTGTACGCCCACGTGTGAATGTGCATGTGTCCTGTTCAGATGTAGCCACTGGGCTTGCATGCAGCTAACCCTGCAAAGAGCGCGGCCTTTTAATAGCTGCAGGACACAGGGGAACGCGATGACCGTTTCACTCATTCAGCAGCCCTTCCATCACGCTGCATCTGAAGGAGACGCAAGACAACTTGCTTCCCTCCATCAGTTTTGTTGGAATCAACTATCCTTTGGTTCTTCCTCCTCAGAACCATCTCCCTGGGCAGCCACTCCACCTTGCTGCATCTGATGCAACCTGGACCCCTCCATCAGCCTGACTGGGACCCCTCCCACAACTGCCTCCCCCGCTGACCACTCCATCTGTCATTATGTAGCAACTGGAGGTCAGGGGAGAGGAGGTGTGGTCTTCCAGAGAACCCAGATTTGGCCAAACACCTGAGTTCCTCACCGCAGTACGTGGGGTTTTTCACTGAAATGGCTTATTTCCCTTTTCAGCTTGTGCATCTTTGAAAGCAAGACCGAGTTTACAATTGCAAACCTCCCTGTGTATTTTGGAGAAAGGCAGTATGTAGATAATAAATTTGCTAGATTTGCCACGGAGTCCAGTGTACCAGTGTGATGTTGGCCTGGACTCAGAGCATTTGCCTGTGTCCTCTACCAGAAAGCTCACTTAGGGTCAGTCACTGACTTGCAGCCTAACCCACCCCTGAGAGCTGTTGTGAAGATAAAATGGAGGAGAAGGGCCACGAAGGCTGCCTGGGGTTCCTTGCAACAGGGAAAGGGGCAGGTTATAAATGCAATAATGATTATTTTAAAAATGCAATGCTTTATGGCCAGCTAGCAGAGCAAGGTAAAGATCCCTGCTCCATGAGGCTTGCTACCCGCCCCCACGACTGCATTGCATAATCGTAATTTGGAGGCAGCCAAATCTTCTCACCTTCTGTGGGAAACACTGCCTGCCAAAATCCCTCACACCTGGCAGCTATTGCTGGCACAGGCACCCTTGCACGCTGCCCCTGGAGAGACGTGTCGACAGAAAGAAGCCTCCATAAGTCACTCTGAAGAATGGGACCCAGAGAGGAGAAGCTAAACCCATTTCGAAGTTGCCATGGTGTGGAAAGAGCAGCTGCCTGCACAAAGAACACAGTCTAGTCTCCCTGGACTAGAACACAGAGCTGCTTCAGACGTTTAGGGATGCCACGTCCCACATGTGTTCTGACAGAAGGCCTGTCGCCTCCAAAATACAAGTCCTTCACTCCAGAAAAGTGAGGCAGTGAGACTGCTAACTGAAGCCAAATACTGAAATTACCATTTCTCTGAAGCATTTGTACCCCACTCGTGAGCTTAAGTGGACTCTGAGGGATGGTGGAGGACAGGAAGGCCTGGAGGAATGTTGTCCATGGGGTCGCGATGGGTCAGACACGACTTTACAACTAACAACAACTTCAGCAGAACTAGCTCCCAGCAAGTAAAACAGCCCTTGCATTGCTCATGCTCACAAGCAAAGCACTCGACAAAAAACAAAACAGGATTGGAGAAAAGCACTAGATCTTAGTTAAAAGAATCTTAAAATAGACAGTTGGACTAGAAGAGGAGCCCAGAGTGGCTGGTCTCTCAGCAGAGTGGGGGGGATGAGCCTGCTTCCCTGCTCTTCTTCCCTTTGTCATAACTGCTTATTGTTTATTTCATTTTCATATCGCCCAGCAATGAAGCCTCTCTGGGCAATTAACTAACACACTACCTCACAAACGAACTTAAAATAACAAAAACTACAATCTCAATTGCAATTGAACCAGCATAGAGGCATGGGAGCAGTACAGAATTAAAATGCTATATTAAAAATAAAGTTAAATAGTTAAATTGCTGGGGAAAAGATCTTCACCTGCAGCCAAACGAGGAGGAGCCAGAATAGAGGAGCCTTTTTCATGGCTGCACCAACATTCCAGAGTTCTCTGTACAGGAAAATCCAGCCTTGATGGTCTCCTGCTGTAGCATGAAGGCCTTCCTTTTCAAACCCTTTCAGAAAGGCCTTTGTGAGCGATTTACGTCAGCTTTCTTGGTGGGGCTGTGCTTTTTCTTAACAGCTATTCTGCAAATGGGTTTATCTTTCTGGGTTTTGTTGCCCTGTTTCTTCATTTAAATCATGTTGCTTTAGTGTTTCATTGTGCCTATGCCTATATATCGTATTTAAAAACTGATTGCACCATGCTGACTTGCAATGTCCCTGCCTGACATGGATTTTTGAAAAGAAGGAACTGCACAAGTAGCATGACGAGATAAAGTTAACAAGGCACTTGGTACAACTTTGGGAAGTCAGCTTGCAAGCAGGAAAGTCAAGGCAGGTGCACGATGAACCATCTACTCACCTATCTCCTTGGGAGAAATCACAAGGCCAAAGAACACAATGACTCCTCCCGCGAACTGTACTGATGCTGTCACCAAGAAGGCATACTGAAAGAAAGCATAAGTGGATTATTTATATGGGACTGCTTGGATTCCACAGCTTAAAATTAAAGCAGAATTGCAGAATTACAGGCATGGGTACCACACCAGAGATCTCCAAGCAGACACGTCAAGAAATATTTTAAAGAAATAAAGAAATACCACCCCCTTCCCCGACCACAGATCAGCTGAAGGATTCTCAGCTTCTGAGCAGTTTTCCCCACATTCCAAAAGTTTGAAGTACCTCTCCTAAGGCTTAGTGACTAACAGCAAGAGCTTTAAGCTCAGGTATGCTGGCATTTTTGCTCCTACCCCTACTGGCTTTGGCCCTACTCCAGCAACAATGCACCCCCCACAGCTTCTCCAAAATGGAATTCTGCCCCTGAGCCCAGAATTAAACAAGCAGTGCTGTCCTTTAAAGCATTTCATGCCTCCACTTCCACACTCATGAAGTATGTTTTAAAAATCCCTTTAGAATGGCTCAATGCAAGAAATCCAAACAGCATGCACAATGTTTGAAAAAGAACACCAGTATACACAGTGTAACCTTTGCTTGCATAACAGACCAGTTTAAGCATGCTTTTCCTTAGTGAGGTGAGGACAGGAAACATGGATTTTATTTCTGTTTAGTTAGGCTACATTAAGGCTTTAAAATCCTGTGGGGTTTTAAGAAGATACTAACAATGCAATAAAATTACAGAGCAGGCACACAAATGAAACTTAAGGATCCATATTAAAAATAACCTATAAAACACTTTCCATTAAAAGCCTGTCTGAGGAAGGGAGGGTGTTAACAGTCTACTTCTGTTGGGCAAGATTCTAGACCTGTCCTATTATGCTAGGAAGCCAATCCAAAGTTCAGAGGCCACCACCAAATAAGAATTTTTTCAGATTTAACAAATGTTTATAACATCAGAAGTTACCTGCATATTTTAGTGGACAGGAGGAGCATACTGATTCCAGTATGCTTACAGCTACCCCAATAATGGCTTTGAAGGTAAGCACTGTGAATTTAACCCAGAAGCAGAGTGGCAGTCAATTGAGCTAATAAAGAACAAGTATTTTATGTTCCCTGAAGCTAACACCAGAAACTACTGTGGTTACCTTGTTTTGGACTAGTTGCAGTTTCTGGAGAGCCTTCAAGGCCAGCCCTGCTAAGACCACACTGCAGTAGTCCAGCGCATGTGTCCAAGTATCCAGGTCCTTCTTTTACAGAAGGGAAAGCAGAGTAGCAGCAGAGTAGGAAGAGTTCAATCTCCTGCTCCACTTCCACATGTTGCCATCCAGACAGGTCCTACATAATATGTAGCTGAAGGATCAAGGCAAAGCTGATGGAATGCTCTCCTTCTTGTAGCCTCAATCTGAGGCCAGGATACAGGAATATTCCTGTTATGAACATGGCTTTTTCAGTTATGTGAGACCCCACCTAAAGTAGGCACCCCACTCACTCCAACAGCTTTAGAACTGTTCTCCATGAACAACTCCATCTTGCCTGGACTGAGTTTCAATTTATTCTTCTTCATTTGGTCTAGTGTTTACTGGCAGACAGGTGCCTAGCAAAGAGAATGCATCACCACCTTCAGAGAGAAAGTGGAACAGCTTTGTCTTCTGCATGAGGATTACAGCCTAGTCCAAGCCACCAACCATCTCATCTAGATGGTAGATCGTGTAGATAATGGAGGGTGACATGTGGTTCCCCAGGTGTTTTGGCCTCCACTCCCCAAAACCTTCAATCACTGACTATGCTGGCAAGTGCGGACAGGAGTTGCTAGCCAAACCACCTGGAGAAATACAAGTTGGTCAGCCTTGCTGGAGATGTTAAGCATCCCTGAAGATTGCAGGGACCCCAGAAATGTGCTCCCAAGTTGGGGGACAGTGATTTTCCACAAGACAACACAAGGGTAGCCTGATTCAGGTCGAAGAGACACTGCAAGGCAATTTCACCCACCTCATAGCCATACTGCAGCACTGATGAGGCAAGGAATGCTCCGAGGATGTTGCCCACTGAGGCACAGGCACTCCAGAGTCCAAAAACAAAACCCCTCCTGTGCAAGAGAAGATCAAAGAAGAGCAGGCTGAGCAAGTGCTGAAGATGCAAGTCAGGGAAGACTTCAGCTACTGAGACATGGTGAAAGTCTCCTTCCAAAGGTTTTGAGACAACAAACCCACCATCGCTAACCATCAGGCCACGAGTTGCACCCCTCCAGTGTGGGGCACAACTCAAGTGTGCTGGACTAGGGAAGGCTGGTTTAGCCTTTACAGGTCTCCTTACTTTATTAAAACTACTTGAGTTCTTCATTCAGAGACATTATGTTTGTGTGACCCATTCATCCTGCTAACTCTGCTGCCTTTTCATGGAATCTCTCATTCAAGGAGAAAAAGGTGAGTGGTGTCTGCATTTCATGAACAGTAGATGGGGCATTAAAAAAAAAACATATCAAGGACCCTGAATAAGAGCCATTCTGGCATGTTTTTAAATATAGAAGGTTTGTCATACACAGTGGTGGGTGAGTAAAGCAGAAATTGTGACCTAGCAGCATCTAGGCCAAATCATACTATGCACTGGCTCACAATTCAAGCAGCTGTTAATCGGAGTGTTACGTAACGCCCTCCATCTGGGGCTGTCTCTGAAAATGAATAAAAACTTCAGCTGATCCAGAATGCAGCCACTCATGTCCTTGCTGGGGCTGGATGGTCAGATCATCCTGCACAGGCCACACATGTATTTTCTGCTGTACCTATCATATTTTATTTTACTTCACCTTATTTTACTTTAAATCTGTCCAAATTTAAAGTGGTTTTAGCATCTATTGGTATTCGCTTTCACTGTTTTCTGTTGTAAGCTGCCTTGGGAAGACTATAGTCTTGAAAGCCTGTAAATGAATCAGCAGCAGCATCCTACCCAGTTCCCAAAGTCTTACAGAGAGAACAACCAGCCTTGATAAATACGAAGAAAGCACACAATACCTTCACCCAGAAAGAAAGGGAGGCTTGCAATGTGCAGTTTAGAAGGTTGACTTCATGGAAAACGGGTGTAAAATAAACAATGTGAACACTCAACGAAATATGCCCTTAGTGGCAAAGGGAACATTGCCAAGAACACAAACTGAAGGACGATAAGGTGCTAATGAATAAAGAGAGGAGGAAAGAACCAACGCACCCGGCTTTGCCAAACCAGTTTCCCATGACAGCTACGACGCAGGGCCAGCCAGTGGACTGTAGCAAGCCGTTCACAATCCACAGAAAGGAATAGAACCATACGTTGTAGAAATGCAGCCATTCGGTGAGAGTGCCAAACACAAATACCTGGGGGGGAAAGCAACACCGTGAGGCAGCCTGGTGAATAAGCCCACCTGATACTAGCCTACTGTACATTAGTGGCCTATAAAAGGAATCCGTTTTCTAAGTGTTTGGTTATCAGGAAATCATCCTTGCTTTCCAAAGGGACAAACATTTGGGTGCTACAGTTTCGTAACAGAACGTAGGAGGGGAAAGGAGCCACAGTTTAAATGCAGCCATGCCCAAAAGAAAGGATGCATGTTGAGGACAGGAAGATGATATTTCTCCCTAGTAGCTCATCGTTTGCAGTTCCAACCTGGGCAGTGCTCAGAGGGGAAAGACTTCAAAATAATTCCAGCAATGAGTTATTTTTCCAGATCCAATGATGGACTGAGGTCTGAATCTTTCCAGTTCCTCTATCCATCACCAACTAAGAGCTGCAGTTTCTAGAAGTGTGTGTACATCAGTTTCTAGCTGCAATAGCTTAGCTCAGAAGAGGCAAATGCTTGCAGAGAAGCTGCGATGTATTTGCAAATACTGGTTTGAGCAACAAGTAACAGAATCAATTCCTGTCCTGTTTGCACTTGGTTATTTGTAACTGGCTAAGATCCCTGGACAGCCTTCCTCAGCCTGGTGCGCTACAGTCGTTTTGACCACTGCTTAGGCGCTGTTGGTGGTGGTGGCGGGATTTTTTTTTTGAAAGGGCAGCCCATAATCTTCATTCTCCTAGAAATAAACTTGAGTACAACACGAAGGAAATTCTCCACATTCAGACCAAGCCAACAGCCCTTCCCGACTCGGGCAGAGTCAAGATTTCCAGCTTACCACTAATGCAGAGGAACACATGCCAAACGACAGGACCCAGCGCATATTCAGGCGATCTGCAATGATTCCGCTGACAAAAAGACCCTAAAATCAGATAATTTTATTAAGAATCTGATATGTGAGCATTTGATCCATAAAACTTTACATTGCCACAAATTTGCTAGTCTTTGTTGATTTTGAATAAGAGGCATTCATTCATTGTATAACTACCAGCTTGAGGGAACTCATGATTTTTTGTATCTTTCAGGGGGAATGAAACAAGTTTGATCTTGATCCCCATTCAAGCTGTGAAGCTTGGGATGACTTTGGTCCTCTCAGAAGCTCTCAGCTATGGAAAAAAGAAGGACCAGGAAAATCTTGCCCTTCTTATTTTCTGAGGACTTTTTTCAAGAGGAAAAAAAAATGGAAGGTGAGGCAGTCTTGGAAGCACTGGAAGCACTGGAAAAGAAACCACTGGAAAAACCCCTCATATGATAATTTTCTTATCTGGAAAATCATGAGCTTCTTAAGAGAAGGTGCTGCTCACTCAAGACATGTAGTTTGAAGATTTTTTTACGTAAGATGTTCTACCGCAGAGCAATATCACTCCACTGACTTTAAAAGAAATGGGGAAATGGATGCCCTGCAAAAATGGCTTGTAAAGAAGCCCACACCCACCAAGGACCTTTGAGATAATAGGATCCTTAGAGATGGATGGGCTTTCCCCGAGTCCAGCCATTTTTGGCAACGGACCCTTTCCTCCACTTCTGTTAAAGTCAATGGAGTGATATCCATCCAATTGAATAGAAGAGGGGACAAAAGTCTCCTGCCAGAAAACTGCTGTGGGGGAACAGGAAAAGTGAAAATCCATGGAAGGACATCCCAAGATTTTACCTCCCATGGCAATCTGTAACACCATAGGACACTTTCCCAAAATGTCAAATGTACCCATGTGCTGTAAACAATTGCCTACTCTGGCCTACAGCATTAGAGAATGACAATTTATATCTTTAACACAGACATATATAACAGCTTTCATGTGCTTTCCATCTTGGATCATCTTCTGCTCAAACCTAACCATTCATGTCACACTGTTCTTATCTAACTTCTGTCTTATACAATTGCAACCCTGTTAACAAAACCATCCTTAAACACACACAACCACAAGAAACAAAAGAAGTACTCTGTGAGTGTGTGTGTTTAAAGTACTGTATAAATCAGCCTTCCTCAACTTGGTGGCTTCCAGATGCATTGGACCGATTCCCAGAATTCCCCAACCATCCGGCTAAGGAATTCTGGGAGTCATGATCCAGCACTTTTGGAAAGCACTAGTTTGCAAAATCTGGCATAGGTAATCAGCATTGTTTGGTTTCTTCCCTTCCCCACAGTGACATGTATGGTTAGGCAGACTTCTAAGCCACTCAGGTTTGAAAGGGGGACAAAAAGCAAAATATATTTCCTACTAGACTTCTACCATCATCAGAAAATTCTACCCTGACAAAGTCTCCATAGCAGTGAGCAAAAAGCCCCATGGGCAGCATGGCCATGGTAGAAGTTATCATCCAATACATCTGCAGGGCAAAAGCTTGGAGAAACAATGCCAATAAGAATGGATTCAGGTTGATACAAGGATTTACACAAAGTTTAAACTGGTATCCGCCTGGAACAGCTAGATCTACATAAGCCTCTTCCTGCAGGCTTCTCGAATTGTACAGAAACTGGATTTTACTCACCACAGCATAAGAAAAGAGGAAGATTGTATCCAGAGTCCCAAGGAAAAGTGTGGCTCCTTCAGCATCTGGAAATAAATGACTACTGTTCCAGAGCTGTGGAAAGAAGTGACATAAGCGTAAGAACAGTGATCTCAGAGAAGTTTTATATAAGTGTTAAATTTACACACACACACACACACACATGCACGCATGCAGACCCAACAATGGACAAAGCTCTTAAATTGCTGACAGGAGAATATAACCAATCAGACGGGCATAAAAACAACAAGGGGCAGCTAGTGCCAAGCCGTGCCTTTGATGTTTCTTGACTCTTGCCTGCCTAATGTGAATTCATCTGCACAGTAAACTACCAGCTGCCACTATGCAAGGGTCAATTGCTTGTCCTTTGAAGAGGCTATCTCAGGTCACTTAGTTTTATTTTCCCCCTTTTTTCTGTATATTTGTGATTCAATTGTCTTGTAGTCTCAGTGATTTTTGCTGACATATGGTTTTGTTGAAAGGTTGTAAGAATCAAAGACAAATGTTATATATATAAAATTCAGGAGAGCTGATGAACAACCTGGCTTTCAGTTGCTCCTTGCAGTAGCCTGGCAGAATTACTGTTTGTAGGTGACAGCAGAGGATCCCAGGCCCACAAGCTACTTTGTCTGGCCCCGGACAGTCCTGCTAATATCGAAAAAGAGTACATTCAAAGTGTCTCTTCACAGTTTTACTTCTACATAAAGACAGCCCCCTTTAAGTGAGGGATTCTGCCACTTCATGTTCAGCCTCTCTTCCTAATGTTGTTTGCATGTAGTGCCCTGGGAAGATCACACTGCTCCTGCTCCACTATTGCAAAGCCCTGATTGCTAGACTGAAAATGGCTCCTGGAGAGAATGAGTCAGTTGTAGGGCAACTTAATTTATACTGTTAATTTACATTATTCTATTTTGAAGTTTATTTATGGTTGTGAGCCGCCCTGAGGCTTCGGCGAATGGGGCGGCATAGTCTCCTAAATAAATAAATAAATAAATAAATAAATAAATAAATAGGTCACTGCCCTACCCATGCTCTGGAGAGAAAAGGGGATCTGGAAAATACAGAAGCTGCAATTTCCATAACTGACAGTGAAATTCTGTACACTTTTCCTTGGAGAAAGGGAAGTGATGTCCATGGGACCAACTCACTAGTCGGTTTATAGGCAGTTACAGCCTCAGAGCTGTTGCTGCAGAAATACCATGGCCATTTACCTCCCTACCTTCTGCTAAAGGAAGACTCCAGTAATGTTTGAACAAGGGACAATTCTTTCGAAGTATGTAGTGTGAAAAAAGAGCATGTCACATGGTTTCCTTCCCCTACTTTTTAACCAGCTTAGCTGTACTCAATGTATACCTATATAACAGCTTAGCTGTATATCCAACAGCAAGAGGAGTAAATATTTAACTGATTTAAAGTTAGCTCTATACACTCTGCATGTGTCAGATGCCTTGTGTACTCGCCTAATTAAGAGGCAAGATACCAGAATAACAAGACCAGGAAAGGACAAGATGTGGTCCTCAAAGCCATTCTTTTCCATCCTTGCTAGAGTTGAATGAATACATCCATTTTACTTTCTATACTGTTTCCATTGTTTCAAGTTCAAATCTCTTTCCTCTTGTTTCTGTATCAGTTTGCAAATGTGTTTTTCTTCAAAATGTCTCCCTATATAGTGG